GGTCGAGTTATTGTGGAACTAGTTCACTCGCGCCGGGCTGGTCGGATTGAACCGAAGCTCATGTCGCCTGAGTGAACAAGCGCTTCTGCACCCAGCTAGGTCTACCCACACATTCGTCACACAAGTAACTCTACTGGAACCACAGAACTCTCGGCACATGAACCTTGCGTCAAACCTCATGCTCATCCGAGCCTTGCGTCAAACCTCATGCTCATCCGAGCCTCCTGTCAAACCTCATGCTCATCCGAGCCTCCCGTCAAACCTCATGCTCATCCGAGCCTTCAGCTCAGCTAGTTTTCTGGTACTGTTACCGTGCTGCTTCCTTCCTCCCAACACTGCCTTTGCTTTTCTCTTCCATTGTGCTTTGAGAATGCAGATACATCGCAGAGAAAGCGGTAAGTCACCAACAAGCTACTCCAGTCGATTCCTGTTACACAAGCAGTCAGATTCAGCCTCAAACCCCCGAAGCTCCTCTCTCCGTTCGCCCCAAGGATAGTATGTTGTGGGCAGTTCAGTTGGCGTAATTCGCTCTGAGAATGGTCAAAACCATGTTCTGGACCCAGCCGGCACTGCCACTCTGCGGCTCTCTCGCTTCCCTTCCCGCCCTTCCACCGCGCTTTGCTTCCCTTTGCACCATCCCACTATCCCCCCCTAACTCCGCACAAACTCTCACTCTGCTGTCTCCTTCCCCCCCGCCCACCCCTCACTTTGTTGTCTCTTCCCCACGGTCCTCCCACCCACTACCCTCCCCTACTGCCATCTCACTATTGCCCTCCCCACCCCACCGCCCCTTTCTGTGCCATCTGCTTTCCACCCCACTCTCCCACTGCGCCATCCCCTCAACCCCTACCCCCAATCGTTCCTCTCATTGTCCCATCGTTCCTCTCATTGTCCCATCGTTCCTCTCAGGGTACTGCGAGGCACCGGCCTGCCACCAACGCCCCCTTCATTTTCGTACGTCCTTCCTCTCCTCGCTCTTTCATCCACTCCTCCCTCATCCAACCCCATGCCGCCTCCACAATCTCTCCCTTCGCCTTTGTACGTCCTGCCTCTCATCCGCCTTTGTACGTCCTGCCTCTCATCCGCCTTTGTACGTCCTGCCTCTCATCCGCCTTTGTACGTCCTGCCTCTCATCCGCCTTTGTACGTCCTGCCTCTCATCCGCCTTTGTACGTCCTGCCTCTCATCCGCCTGTAGCCGTCTGCGTGTGTTACAACATCCAGCTGCTCCTCAATCGCCCCCTTCCTCTTCGCACGTGCTCCGTTTCATTCCGCTTATCTGTCCTGGTTCGCTTCTCTAGTCTCTACCGAGTCAAAGCAGTTCCAAGCGATTCTGCAAATGCCCCTTTGTTTGCTCATGTGTGCTACTCACCTTTTGCCCTTAGTCGTTTCGCCTCCTGCTGCTGATTCGTACATCAAGCCATCCCAGCATGTTTTGCTCAAAGTCAAGTTCACTTTGCTCCCTCTCACATCCATTCTTACCTCTCATCATCTCACCCTCCCCTACCCCCCAACCTATGCTTCCCACCAGAACATCAAGACAGTGGGCGGCATGATCCTGCTCAAAGTCAAGTTCACAGATTGCTTTGTGGAGATTGCCAGGCTCGTGCAGCAATGGTGAGGCACCGTGGCTCGCACTAGCACTCGCTCACTGGTGAGGCCCTCACTAGCAATTGTTAGAATTTCCTTCCAGGCTTCGAATGGCACGTGGACGAAGGGAATGCATTTCTATCATTTCAGTGTATGCCGAGTCCGATCCCTTCATGAGTTCGACAGTTCTAGACTTCATGCGACTTGAGTGGATCGACAGTTCTAGACACTTGTAGAGTCTGCATCATTATTTTCTGTCATCAGCAATGTTCTCTGTGCGTTTATGTGTGTGTGTGTGAGAGAGTGTGTGTGTGTGTGCGCGCGTGCGTGCGTGCGCGTGTGTGTGTGTGTGGGCGTGCGTGCGTTCGCGCACGAATGTGTTTGTGTGTGTTTGTGTTTGTGTTTGTGTGTGTGTGTGTGTGTGTGTGTTTGTGTGTGTGTGCATTGCTGGTGAGGGAAAGGGGTGGTGGGTGCGTGTGGGAGGGTGTGTGCTTGTCTGTGTCCGCGTATGGATGTGCGTTTTCACACAATCTATGTGTGTGTGTGAGAGACGAAATGTTAATGAGTGCAGTAAGCACAACCATTTCAAGGACGCAGCACTACAAGCAGAGTCGGAAAGCGTTCTAAGGTAAAACAAACCTGCATGCAACCAAACAATACTGTGAGCACATATTAGTGACTTGTCTTACTTCACATGGTACTTATTTCTCTTCTCATCCGTTAGATCCACATTTGTGACATCTTGTTACAAGCACCACATCATTTCCAACCCCACCCACTGAACAGCACAGCATCCCTCTCCACCCCCGCTCACCCCACTAAGTAACACGGAGAGAAAATGAAGTGGCTGCGTCCAGCTGTGGTCACAATGCAAAACCTTGATCCTCTATCCACCCAACTCCTCAGCAACCCTCTCTACCTCTGTTGACCCTACACATGGACACACACACAGGGATGGGAACAAGTGGGTATCCTTGAGAGCATTCCCTCCTGCAAATAAATCCCCATTCTGCCCATTCCACCCCACTCTGCCCCTCTCCGCCCCTCGCTGCTGCTCTCCACCACAGATTGACGCACAGGGATGGCAAGGAGTGGGTGGTTCTCAGTGTGGGGCCGTCAGGCAAACCAAGTCCGTGGGAGGGCAACTGCAGCGACGCCATTCCCGCCACCCAAATAAGTGGGCAGGCACTCATCGGGGTGAGCGTGGCGAAGGTGCTAGAGTGAGGAGGAATAGGGGTGAGCGTGGCGAAGGTGCTAGAGTGAGGAGGAATAGGGGTGAGCGTGGCGAAGGTGATAGAGTGAGGAGGAATAGGGGTGAGCGTGGCGAAGGTGCTAGAGTGAGGAGGAATAGGGGTGAGCGTGGCGAAGGTGCTAGAGTGAGGAGGAATAGGGGTGAGCGTGGCGAAGGTGCTAGAGTGAGGAGGAATAGGGGTGAGCGTGGCGAAGGTGCTAGAGTGAGGAGCAGAGAAGGAGGTTTTTTTCAGAGGTTCTTACAGAGTTGAGTCTTCACTGAAAGGTGAACGGTGGGCAGGTGGGGGGCAACTGCATCGACGCCATCCGTGCCACCCAAATAAGCGGGCAGGCGCTCATAGGGGTGCAATTTCAGGCCTTTTATGTACTAGTGTGACAGAGTCGTGAACAATTTCATTGTTTAGGAGCCATCCATTTACAAGCCGAACGCTCTCAACCTCTGTGTTATCAACTTTTTGTAAGACACGATGGCAATAAACGTCACAGCTCTAGAGATCCGGACTTCGCCAAAGATATTCTTTGAAGGCAAAGGTATATGGACCCCATCTGCATCCATGCACTCACATACCCTTGCTTTCAAAGCGTACTTGCCGAAGTCCGGTTCTCTAGAGCTGTGACGTTCTAGTGCCATCGTGTCTAAAAGAAAGCTGATAACACGGAGGTTGAGAGCGTTCTGCTTGTAAATGGATGGCTCCTAAACAACGAAATCGTTCACGATTCACAGACGACGAATAAGTGACCTGGAACCCAGTTGGAATAGCCTGGATTCAATCTGAGAACACAACCTACGTGCAAACAGAGAAAGGGTTGGCTGATGTGGTAAACAATAAACGTGAAATCCGAACTTAATTCCTGGTCTCTCGCTCCTAAAGAACAGTTGAAGTGCCGGGATATTCTGTCAGCACGAATTGCTAAGGATGTGCTCACAGGTGACGGAATGTCATTGAGAATGACGAGCAACTATTATTCAGGAGACGCAAGGACATCATTTTTCAGGCCTCCCTGTGCTGAGTTAGGTGGTGCTTGCAGAGGTGAGTGTGGAGGTGCTTGTAGGGGTGAACGGTGATGCGCTCACACTGTTGCTATCACGCGTAGATTGTAGGCACTGACATCGGCACGCGGCACCCATCCCCCTCCCCCCTTCCCCAACTTCCCAACAAATCACCCTGTCACACCCTCCCCTCTCCCCCCCACCCCCTCCTTCAGGCGCTAACAAAAGTAGTCACCCCCCCACCTCCCCCCCTCCCCCTTTTCCCATCACAAACGTCCATGTGATAAAAGGGAGTTTTTTATGCGTCTCAAAAACTCCTTTTTATTACGTCCCGCCCTCCCCGATCACAAATGCCCGCAAGGAACTAACCTTGCGAGTCTACCCTCCCACTGACTTCTTTCCCTTCCCTCCCCCACCCCCGCCCCTCCCCACACACTGCCCCATCACACCCATTCCATCCGGCGCAAGCATCAGCAGCCAACCTCCCCTCCCTACCCCATCACGGACGTCCATCAGCAACTGTCCCTCCATGGATTCTCTCCCCAAGCCCAGCCGGCGCTGACATCTGGGATTATCCACCGCTTCAGACGCTGACGTCGGGAGTAATTTCTCCCCCCTTTCCTCTTTCCCCTCCTTTCCTCCCATACCCTATCACACTCATCAGGCGCTGACATCAGGGGTAATCCCTCCACCAGACAACCCCTCCATCCCTCTCTCGCTGCCGTCGCTGCCCTACTTGCGAGTGGAGTACGTGAAGGTCTCTCAGGACTCGCTCGGCCTCGCCATGGCTGAAGGAGTGGCCACCATTTAGCATTGGATGATCTCAGGCGCTGACATCAGCAGTCTGCAGCAACCATTAGTGCGATGTGCTCTGTTTTGGCATATTGATGTAGTATGGAAACAATATGAATTTATATTGAGTTTAAGCGGAGTGTGGAAAGCTGGAAGCTCACATGGGCTTGCCACAGAACAAATTGTGGCCACCATATTTTGAAATGCTCACTGTACATGATATACGGTTAGTTGAAGTCCTTTCATTGAAAGTTGATCAGATCTCAAAATAAGACCATTGAATCTTGATTCATCGAACGAACTTTGCCTCATAAAGCATCCCTGCCCTGGCTGGCTGGATGGCCCCACAGTGCCCACACCCACCACCTCACTACAATTTCAGTCTGTGCCTGCCTCGTCTTCCCACTCCACCTCCTCCAACCCATCCACACCACATCGGTCTGTTTGATCTGCCCTTGCTTCCCTTTCACCCCCTGCCCCCTTCACTTCACCTCCACCCTCCTGTGTCTGACTTGCATGGTCTTCTGCTGAACGCTCATTGAGCATGCCCCGACTCTCACCCTCGCTATTTGCTTCTTGACCACCGTTGACTGCGCATTGACCTTTGCTGACTGCCATTTGACCATCACTTGTTAATCTTTTGACTTGCACCCTCCACGCCTTGATCCTTGTTGACAGCGCCTTAACTCCCATTGACTGCGCCTTGACTCCCACTGACTGTGCCTTGACTCCCATTGACTGCGCCTTGACTCCCACTGACTGCGCCTTGACTCCCATTGACTGCGCCTTGACTCCCATTGACTGCTCCTTGACTCCCATTGATTGCTCCCTGACTCCCATTGACTGCGCCTTGACTCCCATTGACTGCTCCTTGACTCCCATTGACTGCTCCTTGACTCCCATTGACTGCTCCCTGACTCTCATTGACTGCTCCTTGACTCCCATTGACTGCTCCCTGACTCCCATTGACTGCTCCCTGACTCCCATTGACTGCTCCTTGACTCCCATTGACTGCTCTTGACTCCCATTGACTGCTCCTTGACTCCCATTGACTGCTCCTTGACTCCCATTGACTGCTCCCTGACTCCCATTGACTGCTCCCTGACTCCCATTGACTGCTCCTTGACTCCCATTGACTGCTCCTTGACTCCCATTGACTGCTCCTTGACTCCCATTGACTGCTCCCTGACCCTCATTGACTGCCATTTCACGAGAATCACTTCCCCCCTGACCATCATTGACAATCAAGTGACCTTCACAGCCTGTCTATGAAACCACTTACACCTCGCCTTCCCCTGACCTCATGCCTCCTTCCTTCTCTCCTTCCGTTGCACTCATATCTCCTTTTCCCATAGCATCTTCCTCCTCCTTCCTACTCGTTTCCCCTTCCTTTCCACTCGTATCTCCCTCCTTCCCACTCGTGCCTCCCTCCTTCCCACTCGTCTCTCCCTCTTTCCCACTCGCCTCTCCCTCCCTCCCACTCCTCTCTCCCTCCTTCCCACTCATCTCTCCCTCCTTCCCACTCGTCTCTCCCTCTTTCCCACTCGCCTCTCCCTCCCTCCCGCTCCTCTCTCCCTCCTTCCCACTCGTCTCTCCCTCCTTCCCACTCGTTTCTCCCTCCTTCCCACTCGTCTCTCCCTCCTTCCCACTCCTCTCTCCCTCTGTCCCACTCCTCTCTCCCTCCTTCCCACTTCTCTCTCCCTCCTTCCCACTCGTCTCTCCCTCTGTCCCACACCTCTCTCCCTCCTTCCCAAATCTCTCTCCCTCCTTCCCACTCGACTCTCCCTCCTTCCCACTCGCCTCTCCCTCTGTCCCACTCGTCTCTCCCTCCTTCCCACTCGTCTCTCCCTCCTTCCCACTCGTCTTTCCCTCCTTCCCACTCCTCTCTCCCTCCTTCCCACTTCTCTCGCCCTCCTTCCCACTCGTTTCTCCCTCCTTCCCACTCGTCTCTCCCTCCTTCCCACTCGTTTCTCCCTCCTTCCCACTCGTCTCTCCCTCCTTCCCACTCGCTTCTCCCTCCTTCCCACTCGACTCTCCTTCTGTTCCATTGATGTCCCCACCCGTCACAGTTGTTGTCCCTTCCCCCATAATGAGGTCCCCTCCCATCGCACTCATGTCCGCTTTCCCCATAGTCACATCCGCTTCCTCCTCAGAAGTACCTGCCTCCCCCATAATCACATCTCCCTCCTTCAGCACGATAACCCCATCATTCACACACACGCTTCCCCTCCCCTCACTCAACCCCTCGCCCTCACTCGTTTCCCGAGCACCGTGCACATCCTCCCGTGAACTCAAATCCTTCCCTCCACACAAAGCCGCTCCTTGACCTGCACTGGCCGCCCCTTGACCTGCACAGGCCGCCCCTTGACCTGCACTGGCCGCCCCTTGACCTGCACAGGCCGCCCCTTGACCTGCACTGGCCGCCCCTTGACCTGCACTGGCCGCCCCTTGACCTGCACAGGCCGCCCCTTGACCTGCACTGGCCGCCCCTTGACCTGCACAGGCCGCCCCTTGACCTGCACTGGCCGCCCCTTGACCTGCACAGGCCGCCCCTTGACCTGCACTGGCCGCCCCTTGACCTGCACTGGCCGCCCCTTGACCTGCACTGGCCGCCCCTTGACCTGCACAGGCCGCCCCTTGACCTGCACTGGCCGCCCCTTGACCTGCACAGGCCGCCCCTTGACTTGCACTGGCCGCCCCTTGACCTGCACTGGCCGCCCCTTGACCTGCACAGGCCGCCCCTTGACCTGCACTGGCCGCCCCTTGACCTGCACAGGCCGCCCCTTGACCTGCACTGGCCGCCCCTTGACCTGCACTGGCCGCCCCTTGACCTGCACTGGCCGCCCCTTGACCTGCACAGGCCGCCCCTTGACCTGCACTGGCCGCCCCTTGACCTGCACAGGCCGCCCCTTGACCTGCACTGGCCGCCCCTTGACCTGCACTGGCCGCCCCTTGACCTGCACTGGCCGCCCCTTGACCTGCACTGGCTGCTTCTGAGCAGGAAGTACCTTCATCTTTATCCCCCTGTCCCTCTCTGTCCCCCCTTCCTTCTCCACTCCCTCCTCCTTCTCCACCCCCCCGTCCCTCTCCACCCACCTCTGCCCTCACCTCCCCCCCCTCACCCGAAACCCCCATCCCCTCTGCCCCTCCACCACCACCCCCCCCTCCCCCAACCGACAAGCGCAACTCTCCCACATCACCCCCTCCTCCTTCACTCGCCACAGCCACCGCTTCCCCACCACCACTTCCACCATTGCTTGGCACGGCCGCTTCCCCACCACCACTTCCCCTCACGTCACTTGCTGCGGGCACTCCTACCCCAGCAGCAACCCCCCCCAGGCCACCATAGGCGCCCACAACTCTCACAAAATCGGCCATGATGCTGCACAGGCTGCACTGCCCTGCCGGCCCGTCCGCCACACAGCAGTGTGACACCGTGAAGTAGCCCCCTTCGCTGCCGCTTCCCCCCGGCATGCTGACCGTCCCCACTCTCACATCCCCTCCCTTATTCCCTCCCTTTTTCCCTCCCTGCTCCCCTCGTTGCTGCCCTCCCTGCTCCCCTCCTTGTCCGCCGGCCTCCCCCTGTCCCCTCGCCACAGCCCCACCCCTTTCCTTCGCCCGGCCTTGCAGCAGCGGCTGCAGCAGTCCCATGATCGTTGCGTCCCTCCAAGCCCCTCCTCTTCCTTCCACTCCTCCCACTCCTCCTCTTGCTAGATCCCCTCGTTGACCGACAGCTGTCTCCACCTGATTCGCTGCCACTCTCCTCCTTGGATCCGCATTGGCCACAAGTTGACTTGCCACATAGACTGCTGCTTGAATTGGATTGACTACTGCTAGAATTGGATTGACTACTGCTTGAATTGGATTGCCTGCTGCTTGAATTGGATTGCCTGCTGCTTGAATTGGATTGCCTGCTGCTTGAATTGGATTGCCTGCTGCTTGAATTGGATTGCCTGCTGCTTGAATTGGATTGCCTGCTCTTGAATTGGATTGCCTGCTGCTTGACTCAGGTTGCTTGGTGCTTGAATTGGATTGCCTGCTGCTTGACTCAGGTTGCCAGCACCTTCACGTATTCTGGCTGCCAAGGTAGCAACCAGACACTCACGGCACTTGCATTGAATCCCGTTCACCACCACTGGATTGCCAGGCAACCCCGTGTGACCTGCGTTCACTGCCCCTTGACCTGCGTTCACTGCCCCTTGACCTGCGTTGACTGCTGCTTGACCAGCGTTGACTGCCCCTTCGCCTGCACCCACACTTTCCAATGGACCTTGATTCACTGCTGATTGGCGCATGTTCACTACCCCTTGACCAGCATTGACTGCCACTTGACCAACATACACTGCCTGTTGACCAGTGCTGGCCATCTGTTGACTTGCGTTGACTGCTCCCAGGCTCTCTCTTCTAACAAACTCCTGCACGCGATGCCCCAGCAGCTGCAGCCCTGCCATGCCGCCCAACCAATCTGTGCCGCCCAACCCTCCACCCTCCCCTCCTTCTCCAACCCTCCGTTCCTCTCCACCACCCCCTCCGTCCCCACCCCCCCCCTCCCCCATTCCCCCCTCCTTCTACGCCCTCCCCTCCTTCTCCAGCCCCCCGTCCCTCTCCACCTCCCCCTAACCTCACCTCTCTCACCTCTCCTGTCTCTGGCACCTCTCCCGTCTCTCTCACCTCTCCTGTCTCTCGCACCTCTCCCGTCTCTCGCACCTCTCCCGTCTCTCGCACCTCTCCCGTCTCTCGCACCTCTCCCGTCTCTCGAACCTCTCCCGTCTCTCGCACCTCTCCTGTCTCTCGAACCTCTCCCGTCTCTCGCACCTCTCCCGTCTCTTGCACCTCTCCCGTCTCTGGCACCTCTCCCGTCTCTCTCACCTCTCCCGTCTCTCGCACCTCTCCTGTCTCTCGAACCTCTCCCGTCTCTCGCACCTCTCCCGTCTCTCGCACCTCTCTCGTTTCTCGCACCTCTCCTGTCTCTCGCACCTCCCGTCTCTCGAACCTCTCCCGTCTCTCTCACCTCTCCCGTCTCTCTCACCTCTCCCGTCTCTCCCGCCCCACCCCCTTCAACCTCAACGACCACCCCCTCCTCCCCTCTACCACCACTCCCCCCTCGTCCTCCTGACATGCGTACATCTCCCCCACCACCCCCTCCTCCTTCACTCGGCACAGCCACCGCTTCCCCACCACCACTCCCCATCAGATTGCTAGCTGCGGGCACTCCTCCCCCAGCAGCAACCCCCATCAGGCCACCCTGGGCGCCCACCATTTTGGCGAAATTGGCAACGATGCTGCAGAGGCTGCACTGCCCTGCCAGCCCGTCCGCCACACAGCGGTGCGACAGAGTGAAGTGCCCCCCTCCACTGCCACTTTCTCCCGGCAAGCTGACTCTCTCATCCGCTCCCTGATTCCCTCCCTGATTCCCTCCCCGATTCCCTCCTTGCCCCCCTCCCTGTTCCCCTCCCTGCTGCCCTCCCTGCTGCCCTCCCTGCTGCCCTCCCTGCTCTGCTCTTTGCCCGCCATTTTCCCCCTGTCCCCTCGCCACAGCCCCACCTGTTTCCTTCGTCTGGCCTTGCAGCAGCTTCAGCAGCAGCCCCAGGATTGCTGCGTCCCTCCATACCCCTCCTCCCCCTGCTCTGCCTTGGCCCACCCCTCCACCTGCATTAGCAGCCCATAGACCAGCGTTGAATGGTGCTTGACCAGCATTGAATGGTGCTTGACCAGCATTGAATGGTGCTTGACCAGCGTTGAATGATGCTTGACCAGCGTTGACTAGTGCTTGACCAACAGTGAATGGTGCTTGACTGGAGTTGACCAGCGCTTGAACAGCGTTGGCTGGTGCTTGACCAGCGTTGACCATTGCTTGAACAACACTGAATGGGGCTTGACCAGCGTTGACCATTGCTTGAACAACACTGAATGGTGCTTGACCAGCGTTGACTGGTGCTTGATCAGCAGTGAATGGTGATTGACCGGCGTTGACCAATGCTTGACCAACACTGAATGGTGCTTGACCAGCGTTGACCAGTGCTTGAAACACGTTGAATGGTGGTTGACCAACGTTGATCAGTGCTTGACCAGTGTTGACTGGTGCTTGACCAGCAGTGAATGGTGCTTGACCAGCGTTGACCAGTGTGTGACCAGCGTTGAATGGTGCTTGACCAGCGTTGACTTGTGCTTGACCATCGTTGACTCGTACTTGACTGGCGTTGACTGCTGCGTGACCAGCGTTGACTCGTGCTTGACCAGCGTTGACTGTTGTGTGACCAGTGTTTAATCGTGCTAGACCATCGTTGACTCGTGCTTGACCATCGTTGACTGCTGCTTGACCAGTGTTGACTCGTGCTTGACCGGCGTTTATTCGTGCTTGACCCGTGTTGACTGGTGCTTGACCATCGTTGACTCGTGCGTGACTGGCATTGGCTGCTGCGCGACCAGTGTTGACTGGTGTTTGTCCAGGGTTGACTGCAGCGTGACCAGCGTTGACTCGTGCTTGGCCGGCGTTGACTGTTGTGTGACCAGTGTATAATCGTGCTAGACCAGCGTTGACTCGTGCTTGACCGGCGTTTATTCGTGCTTGACCCGTGTTGACTGGTGCTTGACCAGCATTTCTTGTCTCTAGCACAGCAGCCGTCCCCACACGACCTGCACCTAACCCTGATTGGCCGACAGCTGTCTCCACTTGATTCGCTACCACTCCCCTCCTTGGATCCGCATTGACCACTGGTTGACTTGCGTTGACTCCATCTTGACTCGCGTTGACTGTGCCTTCACGTGTTCTCATCGCCAATCTAGCAGCCACACACTCATGGCACTCGCATCGAATCCCATTCACCACCACTGGATTGCCAGTTACCCTCGTGTGACCTGCATTGTCCGCCCCTTGACCTGCATTGACCGCCCCTTGACCTGCATTGACCGCCCCTTGACCTGCATTGACCGCCCCTTGACCTGCATTGACCGCCCCTTGACCAGCATTGACCGCCCCTTGACCAGCATTGACCGCCCCTTGACCGGTGCTGACCATCTGTTGACTCGCATTGACTGCTCCCAGGATCTCTCTAACCAACTCCTGCATCTACTCCTGCACGCGAGGCCCCAGCACCTGCAGCCCTGTCACGCCGCCCGCCCCTTGTGTGCCGCCCATCCCTCCTGCTCCTCTTGCCCCTGCTGCCGCCCCGGTTTCCCCTACCCCTACCAGCCCTCCCACACCTTGTACACCCCTCCCTTCTCCTGCTGTGTCTGCTACTACTGTACCTGCTGCTGCCGTTCCCACACCCACACTCCCACCTCCAGCCACACCCCCACCTCGTGCCATCCCTCCCACTGCCCCCGTTTGCCCCACCGTCCCCAATCCCCTCGAACCGAATCCCGTTTCCCCCATCCGTCTTCCCATTGCCCCCATTCCTGTACTCCCCATGCCCACCACCGCTGTTCCCACCCCCGCCGTTCCCACCCCCGCCGTTCCCACCCCCGCCGTTCCCACCCCCGCCGTTCCCACCCCCGCCGTTCCCACCTCCGCCGTTCCCACCCCCGCCGTTCCCACCCCCGCCGTTCCCACCCCCGCCGTTCCCACCCCCGCCGTTCCCACCCCGCCGTTCCCACCCCCGCCGTTCCCACCCCCGCCGTTCCCATCCCCGCCGTTCCCACCCCCGCCGTTCCCACCCCTGCTGTACCCCTACCCCAAACTCCTCCAGTTGACCCAAACCCCATCGCTCCCACCCCAGGCCCCCCAATTCCCACCCCCCCTGCGCCCGTCGCCCCCACACCCCCACTATCACCCAATCCCCCTGTCCCCGCTCCGGCCCCCACCACACCGACACCCGCAGCCACACCTGGCAGCCCCCCAAGCAGCGGTCTGTGAGGGGCGCATTCCCCCCAGCAGGAGCGGCGGCCTGCATGCCGGCGAGCTGGTGGTCAATGGCCTGGGCGTGGGCGCGGCGGGAGAAGAGGGTCTGCAGGGCGGGGCTCATGGCCTGGAAGGCGTGGGCATCGAGGGGGCACTGCAGGAAGGCATCGATGGCCGCCACGCGCTGCGCGTCCGTCAGAGAGGGGAGGGCCTGCACGTCCTGCACTGCCTTCACCACACTGTCCGCCACTGCGTCTGGTGGGGGGGGAGAGAAGGGGAGGCCAAAGCTGTGTCCTCTGATGGCTCAGAAGGAGCTTGAGAGGAGAAACTTTGCACCGATTTGGACACATCGTCTGCCACCACGTCTGGTGGTGAAGAAAAAGGGGGGGAGGGAAAGGGGAGTAAGTTTGGGAAGAAGGTGGGTGGAAAGAGAGAAATAGATTCGACCCAGATCACCAGACTCTGTTAGTTCGGGTCTTCGCTAGTCTATGCTTAGGCTAGGTAGGGATTGTGTAAGCAAATGGCCTTCGCCAGCGCTCTCAAAACTACAATAAAAAACTTTGTAAGAGCACTGACGAAGGCCATTGTGCCAAAATGCGCGCACGCTCAGTCTTGAAATGATATTTTGCTCACTTAATCCCTACGTAGCCTAAGCATAGATCAGCAGAGACCAGAACGAACAGAGTCTGGTGTTCTGGGTAGAATCTATTTCTCTCTGAGTAAGAATGAGGGCGATGTTTGCACGTCCTGCACCGACTTGAACACACTATCCGCCACTGCATTTGACGGTGAGAGGGATTGGAAGGGAGCGGTGGCAATGGAGTAAAAATGGATTGATTCTTACAATTATCATGACTTATATAGTTACGATAGCTACTGTTGCTAATTTCATGTTGCTCATTTTAACATCAGATCTCCCGCCATATCTGCTTGGCTCCAGCATTTGTTACTCTAATCGTGGACAAATTTGATACTGGAAGGAAGTTGTGCCTTCACATCACATCACATCACACCACATCACATCACATTACATCACATCACATCACATCACATCACATCACATCACGTCACATCACATCACATCACATCACATCACATCACATCACATCACATCACATCACACCACACCACATCCCATCACATCACATCACATCACATCACATCACATCACATCACATCGCATCGCATCGCATCCATCCCTTCCCATCCCATCCCATCCCATCCCATCCCATCCCATCCCATCCCATTGCATCGCATCCAATCACATCCCATCCCATCCCATCCCATCCCATCACATCCTATCCCGCCCATCCTATCCCATCACGACACGTCACATCACATCACAACACGTCACATCGCATCACAACACGTTGTCAGATGTATATGCCTTAGCCTATGTAGGCTGTAGTGGGGTAGACACTAAGGGGTACAGCTTTCATATTTGTATCTCACACTTTCCTAGTTCATCTATTCCTGTTTCTTTCTTCACATGGTATAGAGCGGGTTCCTACATGGGACCGTTCCTTCCTAAGGGCCCACCATAAGAATTTTCTTTTAGCTGCCCGAAGCGCATTGCGCCCTGCCCTAATTTTTTTTTTTTCGCGGCCCCCTAGCGGCTCCTACGCGGCCCCTACGCGGCCCCTACGCGGCCCCTACCCGGCCCCTACGCAGCCCCTACCCGGCCCCTACGCGGCCCCTACCCGGCCCCTACGTGGCCCCTGACGCGGCCCCTGACGCGGCCCCTGCCGAGGCCTCTGACGCGGCCCCTGACGCGGCCCCTATCGCAACCCCTACTGCGGCCCCTGACGCGGCCCCTGACGCGGCCCCTGACGCGGCCCCTGACGCGGCCCCTGCCGCGGCCCCTACGCGGCCACTGACGCGGCCCCTACGCCGCCCCTGACGCGGCCCCTACGCCGCCCCTGACGCGACCCCTACGTCGCCCCTGACGCGGCCCCTACGTCGCCCCTGACGCGGCCCCTGCGCCGCCCCTGACGCGGCCCCTGCGCCGCCCCTGCCGCGGCCCCTGACGCGACCCCTGCCGCGGCCCCTGACGCGGCCCCTACGTCGCCCCTGCCGCGGCCGCTACGTCGCCCCTGACGCGGCCCCTGCACCGCCCCTGACGCGGCCCCTGCGCCGCCCCTGCCGCGGCCCCTGACGCGGCCCCTGACGCGACCCCTGCCGCGGCCCCTGACGCGGCCCCTACGCGGCCCCTGACGCGGCCCCTACGCCGCCCCTGACGCCGCCCCTAGCCACCCCTACGCGGCCCCTACGCCGCCCCTGACGCGGCCCTCAGCCGCCCCTGACGCGGCCCCTACGCCGTCCCTGCACGGCCCGGCCCGGCCCTGTCCCTGACGCGGCCCTTGCCGCGGCCACTCGGCCTCGACTTTGTCCCGGACCTGCCCCGGCCCCGACCCGGTCCCGGCCCCGTTGCTGCTTGGCCCCGACCCTGTCCCGGACCCTACTCGGCCCCGACCCTGTCCCGGCCCTGTTCCGGCCCCGACCCAGCCCCGAACTCTCGGCTCTGCCCCTGGTGAGACCTAGCCGGGCCGAGCCGCGCGGCCGAGCCGCACTGCGCTGTCGAGTCGCCCTGCCGAGTCGCGCTGTCCTGCCTAGCTCAGTTGCACTGCTGCCGCTGCTAGTCTCCTGCTGCTCCTACCATGGCTAGTCCTACCCTTCTCACCTTTGATACTGAGGGTCGAGCGGTTGCATTTGATGTCTGGCTCGATGACTTGCAGCTTTTCCTTCAGTGCGATAGCAGAGATGGCCTCTCCCTGTTTGACCTTACGTCGGGCGCCTCTACTGCCCCTGCTGCTGATGCTGACAGTACCGTTCGCTCGCAGTGGCTCACGCGCGATGCTGCTGCCCGCCTTGCTGTGCGCAGTCACCTACCGGCTACTGAGCGCGCGCACTTTAGTCAGTACAAGAGTGCTAGGACTCTGTACGACGCTGTAGTTGCACGCTACTCTTCCCCTGCCACTGCTGCGCTTAGCCGCCTCATGCTCCCGTACCTTTTCCCTGACCTCGCTGCCTTTGCCACAGTCACTGACCTCATTACGCACCTCCGCACTAGTGACACTCGCTACCGCGCTGCGCTCCCTGCTGAGTTCTGCGCCCAGAACCCCCCCCCCATGAACATCACCCTCTACTACCAAGTCACTCGACTCCCTGACACTCTCCGCTCGGTCAGGGACCACTTCCTCTCTCTCTGCCCTACCACCCTCACTGTCGACCTCCTTGAGGAGCGCCTCCTTGCAGCAGAGACTAGTATTACCGCTGTAGGCGCCTCTCGTGGTGACCCCCGTACCCCTTTCTTTGAGGGGTGCTCCCCCGTTCCTCTTTTGCCCTCTGTTGCCTCTTCTGCTGCTGTCGACCTTGTTGGCACCGAGTCGGCCAGCGCTACGTCTGCTCCTAGTGAGAGGCGCCGCATCAGCAAGGGCAAGCGGGGCAGGGGAGCTGGAGGAGGTAGTGGGGGCGGCAGTAGTGGCGGAGGCGGCGGAGGAGGGGGTGGGGGTGGGGGTGGTGGCAAAGGTGGGGGCTTCGGTGGCGGCGGTGGAGGTGGAGGCAGCGGTGGCGGTGGTGGGAGGGGTGGAGGAGGCGGAGGTGGCGGCGGCGGAGGTGGAGCCGGCAGAGGCGGAGCTGAGCAGCGGGGACCCCAGTAGCAGCAGCGCTCTCGTGGGACCCCTTCGCCCCAGCAGCTTCGTGAGTGGTACGCGGGGCGTCAGGGGGCTGGAGGTGCTGGTCCCTGTACTTACGTCCTGCGCACCGGCGACCGCACTGGAGAGCAGTGTGGCGGCCTGCACGCCACCCAGCGCTGCTTCGGTCACCTGACGGACGCCTGGTGTGCCCAGTTCCCGGACGCCACTGAGATCCCTCGTTGGCATGACCTGCACAGGTCGGGGGTAGCTATCTTTGATCTTGACTTTGATGCTATTCTTGCTGCTATGTATGCTGTGTCTATTAGTGCTGAGGGTGACTGTTACGTGTGTGTTCCGCCTGACCCTGGTATTGAGGCTGCTGCTCTAGGTGCTAGTGAGTCTGCTGCTCCAGGTACTCGTGAGTCTGCTCCTCTAGGTGCTGGTGAGTCTGCTCTCTTAGGTACCGAGTCGGCTCAGGTCTTGCACACCTTCACCCTCGACTCGGGTGCTTCTCGCTCCTTCTTTCGAGACCACACCACCCTTACGCCGCTCAGTCGGTCGGTTGCGGTCTCCCTGGCAGACCCCTCTGGGGGTCCTGTCCTTGCTCGCTACTCCACTGTCCTCCCGTGTCCGGCGGCCCCGTCAGGCTCCCTGTCTGGTCTCTACCTCCCCTCGTTCTCCACGAACTTGGTGAGTGGTGCTGACCTTCAGGATGCCGGAGTTGACCAGTTCACTCCTGCACGGCAGCGAGTGACCCACTGCTCGTGTGCTCAGACGGGCCGCCACTTGGCCACGTTTACCCGTCGACCGGGGTCGAGCCTGTACACACTGATCACAGAGTCTCCTCTGGTTGCTGCGTCTGGTCAGGTAGCTGCGTCGAGTCAGGTGTTTGCTGCGGCGTCTCGGTCAGGTCCTGAGTCTGCCCCCTGCTCGTGTCGCCTCCTGTCCCACCAGACCCTCCTCTGGCACCACCGACTTGGTCACCCCTCCTTACCTCGTCTCCGAGGTATGGCCTCCCGTGTCCTTGTCTCTGGTCTCCCCCGGTCCCTCCCTCCCCTTCCCCCGGGGCCTGCCCCTACCTGCGTTCCCTGCGTCGAGGGGCGGCAGCGCGCCGCTCCTCACTCCTCCGAGTTTCCCCCCACAGAGGCTCCACTGCAGACTCTTCACATGGACGTGTGGGGCCCAGCCCGCGTCCGTGGACAGGGTCACGAGCGTTACTTCCTGCTGGTGGTTGACGACTACTCGCGTTACACCACTGTCTTCCCCTTGCGCAGCAAGGGTGAGGTCACTGAGGTGTTGATCGACTGGATCCGCGTTGCTCGTCTCCAGCTCAGAGAGCGTTTCGGCTCGGACTTTCCTGTTCTGCGTCTGCACTCCGACAGAGGCGGAGAGTTTTCCTCCGACCTTCTGCGAGCCTTCTGTCGTGCGGAGGGCATCCGCCAGACGTTCACGCTTCCGGCCTCTCCACAGAAAAATGGGATTGCTGAGCGCCGCATTGGCATGGTCATGGATGTCGCTCGTACGTCCATGATCCATGCGGCTGCTCCCCATTTTCTGTGGCCGTTCGCGGTTCAGTACGCGGCGCATCAGATCAACCTTCAGCCCCGGGTCTCCCTGCCGGAGACCTCCCCTACTCTGCGGTGGACGGGGAAGGTTGGTGATGCGTCTGCGTTCCGTGTCTGGG